AAGGGCGGGAGGAGGAAGAGGAGGAAGGCAGGAGCAGGAAGGCAGGAGGAGGAAGGCAGGAGGAGGAGGATGAAGAGGAGGAAGACGAGGAGGAGGAAGGGCAGGTGGAGGAAGAGGAGGAGGAGGAGGAGGAGGATGGGATGAAGATGACAATGGGGATGGGATGAGGATGAGGATGAGGATGAGGTCAGGAATGGTGTCAGGATGAGGACAACTTTGGGACAAGATGAGGATGATGAGGATGATGACGATGACAATAACAATGGGGATGGGATGAGGCCGACTTTGGGATGAAGATGATGAGGGTGAGGATGAAGATGAGGATGAAGATGAGGATGACTTTGGGATGAGGATGAGGACAGGAACAGGGTCGGGATGAGGATGACTTTGGGACGAAGATGATGAGGATGAGGACGAGGATGATGAGGATGACTTTGGAATGAAGATGATGAGGACGAGGATGGTGAGGATGACTTTGGGATGAAGATGATGAGGATGAGGATGATGAGGATGACTTTGGGATGAGGACGAAGAGGACAGGGATGGGATGAGGATGAGGACGGGGTTGGGACAAGGACAGCTTTGGGATGAAGGTGATGAGGACAGGGATGAGGACGAGGATGAAGATGATGACAATGACAATGCCGATGACAATGATGCTGATCATGACCATGTCAATGACCGTGACCATGATGACCACGGCCATGTCAATGACCATGCCAATGACCATGCCAATGACCATGACCATCATGACCATGAGATGATGATGACCATGATGACCATGATGATGATGGCCATGATGATGACCATGACCATGATGATGATGGGATGAGGACAGGGCATGATGACTGTGACCATGATGATGGCCATGATGATGACCATGACCATGATGATGATGACCATGACCATGACCATGATGATGATGGCCATGATGATGACCATGACCATGATGATGATGGCCATGATCATGACCGCAACCATGACAGTAGGGATGGAATGAGGATGGAGAGCATGGGGATGGGATGAGGATGAAGATGAGGATGAGGACAGGGACAGGGTCAGGATGAGGATGACTTTGGGACAAAGATGATGAGGACAAGGGTGAGGACAAAGATGATGAGGACAAGGACAAAGATGATGAGGATGCCAATGCTGATGTCATTGACAATGCCAATGACAATGATGACCATGACACTGACCATGGCCATGATGACCACGACCATGGCTATGACCATAGCCACGATGACCATGGCCATGATGACCATGACCATTATGACCATGACCATGACCGTGATGACCACAACAATGATGATAATGATGACCATGATCATGATGACCATGATGACCATGATGATGATGACCATGATCATGACCATGATGATGATGACCGTGATGACCATCATGATGATGACCATGATCATGATGACCATGACCATGATGATGATGGCCATGATCATGATGACCATGATCATGATGACCATGATCATGATGACCATGATCATGATGACCATGATCATGATGACCATGATCATGATGACCATGATCATGATGACCATGATCATGATGACCATGATCATGATGACCATGACCGTGACCATGATGATGGCCATGATGATGACCATGACCATGATGATGATGACCATGATGACGATGATCATGACCATGATGATGATGGCCATGATGATGACCATGACCATGATGATGATGACCATGATCATGACCGCAACCATGACAGTAGGGATGGAATGAGGATGGAGAGCATGGGGATGGGATGAGGATGAAGATGAGGATGAGGACAGGGTCGGGATGAGGATGACTTTGGGACGAAGATGATGAGGACGAGGATGAGGACAAAGATGACGAAGACGAGGACAAAGACGATGAGGATGGAGACGAGGACCAATGACGATGATGATGAAGGGGATGAAGGTGACGACGAGGCCTCCACCCGCAGGGAGGAGCAGGCCGAGGAGGTGAAGAAGAAGAAGAAGGACGACGAGGAGGACACGATCCCGCCCGAGATCTGGGAGCTGCTCAAGGGCGTCACCAAGAAGAGCGAGTACGAGCGCATCGCCTTCCAGTACGGCATCACCGACCTGCGCGGCATGCTCAAGCGCCTCAAGAAGATCAAGGTGGAGCCCAAGAAGAGCGAAGGTGGGATTTTGGGGGGAATCTGGGGGATTTTGGGAAAATTTTGGGAAAATTTATGGAAATTTTGGGAAAATTTTGAGCAATTCAGGGAAATTTTGAAGGAATTTGGGGAAAATTGGGGGATTTTGGAGAGGGGAGAGGCTCAAGAGGCTCAAGCGCCTCAAGAAGATCAAGGTGGAGCCCAAGAAGAGCGAAGGTGATGGAAATTTGGGGGATTTTGGGAAAATTTATGGAAATTTTGGGAAAATTTTGAGCAATTCGGGGAAATTTTGAAGGAATTTGGGGAAAATTGGAGGGATTTTGGGGATGGGAGAGGCTCAAGCGCCTCAAGAAGATCAAGGTGGAGCCCAAGAAGAGCGAAGGTGGGATTTTGGGGGGAATCTGGGGGATTTTGGGAAAATTTTGGGAAAATTTATGGAAATTTTGGGAAAATTCTGGGTTTTTGGGAGGGGAATTTATGGAAATTTTGGAGGAATTTGGGTGATTTTGGAGGATTTGTGAGGTTTGGAGGACAGGGCGCCTCAAGAAGATCAAGGTGGAGCCCAAGAAGAGCGAAGGTGACGGAAATTTGGGGGATTTTGGGAAAATTTTGGAAATTTTATGGAAATTTTGGGGGTTTCTGGGGAAATTTTGGGGGATTTTGGGGATTTGGGATTTTTTGGGTTTCTGGGTCGTTTTGGGGGGTTCCCGGGTGATTTTTTGGGTTCACCTGAGCTCACCTGTCCCCCCAGCCTTCATCCCAAAGCTTGATGGTTCCCTGGAGGATTTTGGGGATTTAGGATTTTTTTGGGGTTCCCAGCTGGTTTTTGGGGTTCCCAGGTGACTTTTTGGAGTTCCCAGGTGGTTTTGGGGGGGTTCCTGGGTGATTTTTTGGGGTTCCCAGGTGGTTTTTGGGCTCACCTGAGCTCACCTGTCCCCCCAGCCTTCATCCCAAAGCTGCACCCCTGAGGGACCTTTGGGATTTCCCTGGGAATTTCAGATTTTTTGGGGGGGTTTTGGATTTTTTGGGGGTTCCCAGGTGGTTTTTTTGGGGTTCCCGGGTGATTTTTTGGGCTCACCTGAGCTCACCTGTCCCCCCAGCCTTCATCCCGAATCTGCACCCCTGATGGTTCCCTGGAGGATTTTGGGGATTTGGGATTTTTTGGGGTTCCCAGGTGGTTTTTTTGGGTTCCCAGCTGGTTTTTGGGGTTCCCAGGTGACTTTTTGGAGTTCCCAGGTGGTTTTGGGGGGGTTCCTGGGTGATTTTTTGGGGTTCCCAGGTGGTTTTTGGGCTCACCTGAGCTCACCTGTCCCCCCAGCCTTCATCCCGAAGCTGCACCCCTGAGGGACCTTTGGGATTTCCCTGGGAATTTCAGATTTTTTGGGGGGGTTTTGGATTTTTTGGGGGTTCCCAGGTGGTTTTTTGGGCTCACCTGAGCTCACCTGTGCCCCCAGCCTTCATCCGGAAGCTGGACCCCGCCTACCAGGTGGACAAGGGCAACAAGATCCGGCTGATGGTGGAGCTCAGCAACCCCGACCTGCCGCTCAAGTGGTACAAGAACGGGCAGCTCATCAAGCCCAGCAACAAGTGAGTGCCCAGGTGGGCACAGGTGTGCCACAGGTGTCCCCAGGAACCCC